CCCACAGGAAGTGGACCTGGTCGAGCCCCGACGGTTCGACAAAAAATGAGATTGACTTCATTATGACGACCAGACGACAACTGTTCAGTGATGTCTCCGTGATCGCGAGGGTGAAAACTGGTAGCGATCACCGATTGGTTAGAGGCACACTGAACCTAAACGTTAAGTTGGAGAGGTCTCGTCTAATGAAGTCAACGCTCCGTCCCCCTCGTGCTCTGTTCCAAAGTCCCGAAACCTTTCAGCTCGAGTTACAAAACCGTTTTCAGTGCCTAGAAGACTGCAATGAAGTGGACGATATGAATGACAAGCTCGTGGAAACTGTCCATGCGGTCGGAGCTAAGTTCTGCAAGACCCGCCGCAGAAGAACACAAAAACTCTCCGATCACACTCTTAATCTCATGGCTGTTAGACGGGAGATGAAGCTACATTCTTCAACAGACTTGACAGCATACAGGCATCTGAACAGACAGATCTCCAAATGCATGCGGCGGGACTTACGCAACTTCAATACAGCTCATATTGAAGAAGCGATCGAGCGGAACCAAGGCTCCAAAGTCTTTGCCAGAGATCTGTCTGCCAGAAAGAGCCACCTGTCAAAGCTGATGACAGGATGTGGCAGCATCGTTTCCGGGACACCTGAGATTTTGAGTGAGATTGAGAGGTTCTATGGGCAGCTGTACACGTCATCGTTGGAGCCACACGCAAGTGTGAGTAACGATCCAAGAGCGAGTCTCATCCGACACTATTCCGAAGATATCCCGGACGTCAGTCTGAGCGAGATTAGAATGGCTCTCCAGCACCTTAAAAACGGTAAAGCCCCAGGCGAGGATGGAATTACAGCGGAGCTTCTGAAAGCGGGTGGAAGACCGGTACTTGAAGTCCTTCAGAAGCTCTTTAATTCCGTCCTCCATGGTGGCATTACACCGGAGGCGTGGAGCAGAAGTGCGGTGGTCTTGTTCTTCAAGAAAGGTGACAACGCTCTCTTGAAGAACTACAGACCGATTTCCCTTCTGAGCCGCGTCTACGTGCTGTTTTCGAGAGTCATTACGAATCGTCTCGCGCGCAGACTTGACGACTTCCAGCCTCCCGAACAAGCCGGTTTCCGAAAGGGCTTTAGCACCATAGACCACATACATACCCTTCGGCAAGTTGTACAGAAGTCCGAAGAGTACAATTTGCCACTATGTCTGGCGTATGTGGACTATGAGAAAGCCTTTGATTCCGTCGAAATTTGGGCGGTGCTGCAGTCCCTTCAGCGGTGCCAAGTTGACTGTCGGTATATCGAAGTGTTGAAGTGCTTGTACAGTAGGGCTACGATGGCTATCCGAGTACAGAACCAGAGTACGAAACCTATCCAATTGCAGAGAGGTGTAAGACAGGGTGACGTCATATCCCCGAAACTCTTCACCGCTGCATTGGAAGACGTTTTCAAGCTTCTGGACTGGAAAGGATACGGTATCAACATCAATGGCGAGTACATCATTCACCTTCGATTTGCCGACGATATAGTCCTTATGGCAGAATCGCTGGAGGACCTAAGCACTATGCTCAATGACCTCGATAGTGTTTCCCAACGGATAGGTCTTAAGATGAACATGGACAAAACAAAGATCATGTTCAATGTCCATGTCACACCTATGCCGGTAGTTGTTGGGAGCACTAAGCTCGAAGTTCTTGACGAGTATGTTTACCTGGGACAAATAGTCTGACTAGGTAAGTCCAACTTCGACCGAGAGGTCAATCGACGGATTCAACTCGGCTGGGCAGCGTTCGGGAAGCTACGACACATCTTCTCGTCAGACATACCTCAAAACCTGAAAACGAAATTGTACAACCAGTGCGTGTTGCCAGTGATGACTTATGGAACTGAGACGTGGTCCTTCACTGCTGGCCGTATGAGGAAGCTCAAGGTCTTTCAGCGAGCTATGGAGAGGGCTATGCTCGGAGTTTCTCTGCGTGATAAACTTAGGAATGAGGATATCCGCAGTAGAACCAGAGTAACCGACATAGCCCAACGGATTAGTAAGCTGAAGTGGCAGTGGGCCGGCCATATAGCTCGAAGAACCGACAACCGATGGGGAAGAAAGGTTCTCGAGTGGCAGCCTCGTACCGGTAGGCGAAGTGTAGGGCGTCCCTCCACGAGATGGAGTGACGACCTGGTAAGACATGCAGGAAGTCGATGGATGCAGGTGGCTCAGGACCGTGCTTTGTGGCATTCTTTGGGGGAGGCCTATGTTCAGCAGTGGACTTGTGAAGGGCTGTAATGATGATGATGATGGTTGTTCCAAGTGTGGCCTCCATCTTTATCTATAACTTCATGGTTTCATTAAATCAGGAAACACACCAGATTCTAGACACGCTAGATAAGGTGCTAATGTATCTATTATAGATAAAATAACTTTAACGGAAATCCCCCATAAGTCTGCCGTTTTCTTAACATCAATAGTTTTAAAATATTTAACGATATCTTTTGGCAGTACCCTATGGAACTTAAAAATATTTGAACAAGCCTTTACATTTTGTTTGAGCAATGATTCGGCGACAGTAGGAGAAGAATTTAATGATTTTGTTATATTGATATTTGATAATGAATGAAATTGATGTTGATATTTGATAAAGAAGTATTAATTAGTATATTATTTGACATTGTTGGTGCATTTAATAACGTTAATCTTCATGTACTCGCCGTAGAGTTGAGGTCTTTGGCCATTCCTGAAAAAATTGTAAAATGGATATTTAACTTTTTACATGAAAGAAGAGTTTTTGCTAAAGTTAATAATAATAATACAATTATTGGTCCCAGGCTCAGTTATAAAGGTGTTTGTCAAGGAGGAATATTAAGTCCTCTTATCTTTATTTTATACATATTTAAATTAAACGATATTTTAGGATCAAATGTTACTAATTTACAATATGCAGATGATTTGGTCATATATGCCTCAGGAACAAATATCAAAAACTTGGTAATCACTTTAAATGAGGCTTTAAAGAAATTGCACATTTACTTTTCATACTTAAATTTAGATATTAGTACTGAGAAAAGTAAAGTCGTAATATTTTATAAAATTCGTCCATTTAACACTAGAATAATTTATAATAATACATTTTTACTAATAGAAAGTTGTGCAAAATTCTTAGGTGTTATTTTTACAAATAATTTATCTTGGACCAAATACGTGAATTCTATTTCAGACAGAGCTTCTAAGGCCTTTAATGTTTTAAAAGCTTTGGCTAGTACTAACTGGGGAGCTGATCCAGAAATATTATTAATGTTATATAAGTTTTGGTGAGGAGCCATTTTGAGTACGGCATTCTTTGTTTTGCATCAAATAAAAAACTAGTAAACAAATTAGTAAATATACGAAATAAGAATTTAAGACTTATTACCGGCTCTATGAGAACAACTTCTATTGTTTCTTTACAGGCTGAATGTCTTACTCCTCCTATCTTACTTAGGTTTAAATATCTGAAATTTAGGTTTTTATTAAATATTAATTCTTTGTCTCATCATGCTCTTTTTCAAAAAGTATTATTTTACTATAATAGTATGTCTCCTATATCTAACTCAGCCCAATATATACTCCTTGACTTTCATGAAGTGATACGATATGATGAACAATATAATATTCACAAAAGCACACATACTGGCCTTGTTAAAAGGGGAATTATGAAAGTAAATTCAGTGATATACACATAAATATTGATGAAAAATCGAGAAGAAAAGAAGAGGTTTATGAACTTATATCTACATATGATGAATATCGACAAATTTACACAGATGGTTCAAAAGTTGAAAATAAAGTAGCCTGTGCATTTAACATACCTCATCTGAAAACTGGACGTGGCCTTTCCATTTCTGCATTAGCAAGCATATACACTGCAGAATGTTATGCTGTCTTAATCGCTCTTAAATATATAGAAGAGAACACCCACATGTATCTAATAAATGGTTACTGATCTCTGATAGCATTAGTGTCTTGAAGGCACTGAAGGCAAGAGCTTTAGTTGCTAAAACGTCTTTCATCATATATTAAATCAAAAGTTTGTGGTGGAAATTGAAAGAAAATAATTTGGAAGTAAAATTTTTATGGACTCCGTCACATATTGGGGTTCAAGGAAATGAAAGAGCAGACCATTTAGCTAAAAGTATAGTTACAGCTGATATTGACAGGATAACCGATGTTGCAATACCACATACAGATTTATATTCAATTTTAAAGCAAGAGTTAAAAGAAGAATGGAAAATGCAATGGAATGCTGTTTTAGAGGCAGGAAATTGTCGTTGGTATGTATCAATTAATTCGGAGTTAAGTATTAAAAGGTTTTTTCGCAACGATATGCGAAGATATCATAGCAGAAATTTTTATACAATAATGTGCAGACTTAGATTTGGCCACTATCGACTGAACGCTCATTTTTCCAGGATGAGAAGAGTAGCATCTGCAATATGCAATTTCTGCGATACAGAAGCAGATCAGACTGCAGAACATATAATATTTAACTGCCCAGCGTACGCCATAGAAAGATTGCTACTCATTGAAAAAGTTATACAAGTTTATGAAAACTCAGAAAGCGTCCCGCGTGCCCTACAAGATGTCCTTAGGAATACTAAGACATATTTAGCACTTTACAATTTTATTCATAATACTGTAAAAGAAATATGAAATATGGTATCCCTGTTTTTGAAAATATTGGATTGACAAATCTACATGGATTGAAACTTACAGAGAGTATAATATAAAGAAGACTTGGCTTTAGCCTTTACGGGTTTTCGAAAATATGAAGAATTAAAGAAAATAAGACTTGATTTCGGCCTTTATGGATTTCGAAGAGATGGAAAGAAGAAAAATAAGAATTGGTTCCGGCCTTTACACTCTAAAATTCTATATATTCAAAATAAAAAAGACAAGGCTGTATGGCTTAGTTTCTTTGTCTGCTCTCTCGAGCGAATAATAAAAACAACAACATTTCTATATAGTTTGTGGTCAAAATCAAGAATTGAATGAAATAATGAAATAAACAGACGAACTTGTTATTGATAAAGTTACACTCATATTAAACAGTTTCTTATTTTTTTTATCTCGAAGTTAGGTAGAGCAAGTTGTTTATCTTACTATATACATAAATGTTATGTCAAAATGTATTTTCCAATAGGATGGCCAAAAGTACTGAAGAACTTGGGATCAGATGGACAGGCAGTCAAACAAATAGTTTCAAATAGGGATAAAATTTTGCTTGTTTCATTAAATGATGATTCTTTTGTTATTTGGTTTTGCAAGGTAAAGCAGTAAACTTATAATTCGTTATATATATTATTATAATTCACAAATAATTTATAATATGTATCATCATACTATTAGATGTGTATATAGAAACAGCGTAAAAATAGGTTTCTGAAACCTGCAATGTGGTGACTGGTGATTGTTGCATTTTTCATATTTTTAATAAAATATTTTTGATGCGCTTGAGCCTCAACTAAAACAATAAATTTCTAAATTATGATGGTGTCATAGTCACAATCATAATGAGTTTGGCTCATTGGTTGCCACATGCCTGGTGCCCCAATAGTATTGTATGTAGTACTAGGAGCATAAATGCATTCAAGGCAATAACTGCTTGATGCTTCAATATATACAAGCGTTAATTTTACACATTGTTGATTGAATTGAGTGGCATGTGGCAAATATTATACACATTGATTAAAAAAACACTAGCATTTAGACTTTATGAAGTAGGTATATGATATATTTTATCACTCGGAATTAAAAAAGCTTAAAAAAGGTACTGTAATATTTCAAAAATTTTCGAAACTTAGTTCTTTATCAATTGCCTTGAAATTTTGATACAATACTGCAATTTTAAGTGTGAGTTTTAAATATTTTTTGTAAAACTTTTAAGTTGTAGCATTGCATGGCTTTAAAGTTGTAAATATATGTATGTTATATATTATTTAGAAATAGAAATAACTGCAAAAATATTTCAAAGTAGATAAATTTAGGGACTGTATGGCTAAGGACTCACAGAACGATATTATACCAAGCCTACATCATGTATTGCATAATACTTAATAAAGGATGTGGCTGAATCTCCACTTTATCAATGTGAGACTATCAACTTTGTCCTTACCTTCTCATTTATACAGTGAGATTTATATTGGTTAATGTACCAAGTGATGTTTCCAACTTTACCAAGAATGTGACATTTTCTCAAGCAGCTCAAAATGAACACTAATAAAATGATTTATGAAATTTTAATAAAATTAATGAATTGTTTGCCATTATATAAAAAAAACCTTTTTTATATAATGACAAACAAAATTGTTATAAATGTTTAGATTTTACAAAAAGTAAAAGTTTATTTATATTTTTTTGAAGTAGTATTTTTATTTCACCCTTATCATCATATTTTTTTCAGTTTCAATAATTTTACCAAAAATGTATTTTTTCTTGTTTCATTCTTCTATAATTAATTTTTTCAGCCAACTGTTCCAATTGTTTTTCATAAGCGTAATACGGAATCCCTTCAGAGGCTTGGTATCAATATAGGAGTGGAATGGAAACCTGATTCTTCAATGATATGTATTTCGGTATGATTTTTATTAGTGCTAAATAATAAAACTAAAGAACTATTTAAAAACAAAAATACAAAAAAGAAACTTCCGAGAACAGACTTTCTATGCGTCATTCAAACTGGAATCCTCCCCAAAAGAAACCCTAAATTTTATTATGTTAAGATTTGGTGAGGGATTTTTGACAATTTGCATCTTAAGAAAAACAATTCATGACTTAATACTTTAGGGGACATAAGCCTTTCTTTGGGAGGTTATTTGCTTGAATTTAAGCTAACAGCCTCCTCTCGAGAACACCATTATTGATTGCATCTGAGATGTACTTCCTATTTTAACGTTTAATGATTAATTGGTGACTTTAATATAGAGATTGAAACATATTGCTCCAACGAAATCGAAGTTATTCATATGTTTTAGGGAGGATTCTGGCTAGAAGGTTATATATCATAGAATAACTCTAGAACGCCTGTCTTTTGCTTTTTTTTAGTTAAAATTATTTTTTTAGTTTTGGATTCGGTTTTACTTTTCGTCATAACCGCCCCTTGTTCCATCCAGAGGGGTGGAATTTTTCTTCTCATTTACTTCTGAAGTATAACTAAAAAAAAGAATCATATAAAATGATTCAGCCATTTCCGGAAATCAGTGAACATACTAAAAAACATATGCATCAATTACAGAACTTTCCCATTTTTGAACTCTGTAAAAAACTTGTTTAAATAAATTGAAAATGTATGTAGTGCCATAATAATGATGATTAAGACGATGATAATGATGACAGATTAATATAATTATTAAATTTGAGTATTGCAAATGATTGCAAAAAATTTTTTTTTTAAAAATCCCTTAAATTTTTATCAAGTAGGTGGTTATTTGCCGTGTAGTGGCGGTCAAGAATATCCACTACCCCATATCCTCCCGTGGGTGTCGTAAAAAGCGACAAAGGGAAACAGGCAGGAGATGGGCAGCAGCATCTTCCTGATAATAGCCAAATTACAATAAAAAAACTGCGGTTGCCAACCCGCTCGCCAAGCGTGGCAACTATGGCAAATACCCCCCTATGAATGACAGTAACAAAGAAACGGCCCCCAGTCCCCGGCGGCCCCGCTATTCCTGGCTACGGTGGCGACCATGGTAACGGCGGGGCAGGGGGTGCTAAGAATCTCCGGTGGAGGTTCGGTTGCCACCTTAGACGACTCGACCTGGCAACGTACAACGCACGCACCCTGAGGACTGACGAGAAGATTGTGGAGCTGGAAGAAGAGATAGACAAGTTGCGCTGGCATATTATAGGATTATCCGAAGTCCGAAGAGAGGGGGAGGACACGGTAATCCTCGAATCCGGCAACTTGCTCTATCACCGGGAGGGCGACCATCTGTCCCAAGGAGGTGTCGGATTTATCGTCCACAAGTCTCTCGTTAACAACGTTGTAAAGATCGGGAGTGTGTCGACGAGGGTTGCGTACCTTATACTCAGAATCACCAAACGGTATTCGCTGAAGGTCATACAGGTTTACGCACCAACCTCGGCACACCCCGATGAGGAGGTGGAGGAAATGTATGAGGATATCTCTAGAGCCATGCATTCCTCCAAAACCCAATATACGGTGTTAATGGGAGACTTCAATGCAAAACTAGGCACAAGAGAGAACGGTGAGCTGAAAGTAGGGAAATTTGGAATAGGGCAACGGAACCCAAGGGGCCAGCAGCTGGCCGACTTCATGGAGAAAGAGGGACTCTTTATGATGAACTCTTTCTTCCAGAAGCGGCCCCACAGGAAGTGGACCTGGTCGAGCCCAGACGGTTCCACATAAAATGAGATTGACTTCATTATGACGACCAGACGACAACTGTTCAGTGATGTCTCCGTGATCGCGAGGGTGAAAACTGGTAGCGATCACCGAATGGTTAGAGGCACACTGAACCTAAACGTTAAGTTGGAGAGGTCTCGTCTAATGAAGTCAACGCTCCGTCCCCCTCGTGCTCTATTCCAAAGTCCCGAAACCTTTCAGCTCGAGTTACAAAACCGTTTTCAGTGCCTGGAAGACTGCAATGAAGTGGACGATATGAATGACAAGCTCGTGGAAACTGTCCATGCGGTCGGAGCTAAGTTCTGCAAGACCCGCCGCAGAAGAACACAAAAACTCTCCGATCACACTCTTAATCTCATGGCTGTTAGACGGGAGATGAAGCTACATTCTTCAACAGACTTGACAGCATACAGGCATCTGAACAGACAGATCTCCAAATGCATGCGGCGGGACTTACGCAACTTCAATACAGCTCGTATTGAAGAAGCGATCGAGCGGAACCAAGGCTCCAAAGTCTTTGCCAGAGATCTGTCTGCCAGAAAGAGCCAACTGTCAAAGCTGAAGACAGAATGTGGCAGCATCGTTTCCGGGACACCTGAGATTTTGAGTGAGATTGAGAGGTTCTATGGGCAGCTGTACACATCATCGTTGGAGCTACACGCAAGTGTGAGTAACGATCCAAGAGCGAGTCTCATCCGACACTATTCCGAAGATATCCCGGATGTCAGTCTGAGCGAGATTAGGATGGCTCTCCAGCACCTTAAAAACGGTAAGGCCCCAGGCGAGGATGGAATTACAGCGGAGCTTCTGAAAGCGGGTGGAAGACCGGTACTTGAAGTCCTTCAGAAGCTCTTTAATTCCGTCCTGCATGGTGGCATTACACCGGAGGCGTGGAGCAGAAGTGCGGTGGTCTTGTTCTTCAAGAAAGGTGACAACGCTCTCTTGAAGAACTACAGACCGATTTCCCTTCTGAGCCGCGTCTACGTGCTGTTTTCGAGAGTCATTACGAATCATCTCGCGCGCAGACTTGACGACTTCCAGCCTCCCGAACAAGCCGGTTTCCGAAAGGGCTTTAGCACCATAGACCACATACATACCCTTCGGCAAGTTGTACAGAAGTCCGAAGAGTACAATTTGCCACTATGTCTGGCGTATGTGGACTATGAGAAAGCCTTTGATTCCGTCGAAATTTGGGCGGTGCTGCAGTCCCTTCAGCGGTGCCAAGTTGACTGTCGGTATATCGAAGTGTTGAAGTGCTTGTACAGTAAGGCTACGATGGCTATCCGAGTACAGAACCAGAGTACGAAACCTATCCAATTGCAGAGAGGTGTAAGACAGGGTGACGTCATATCCCCGAAACTCTTCACCGCTGCATTGGAAGACGTTTTCAAGCTTCTGGACTGGAAAGGATACGGTATCAACATCAATGGCGAGTACATCACTCACCTTCGATTTGCCGACGATATAGTCCTTATGGCAGAATCGCTGGAGGACCTAAGCACTATGCTCAATGACCTCAATAGTGTTTCCCAACGGATAGGTCTTAAGATGAACATGGACAAAACAAAGATCATGTTTAATGTCCATGTCACACCTATGCCGGTAGTTGTTGGGAGCACTAAGCTCGAAGTTGTTGACGAGTATGTTTACCTGGGACAAATAGTCCGACTAGGTAAGTCCAACTTCGACCGAGAGGTCAATAGACGGATTCAACTCGGCTGGGCAGCGTTCGGGAAGCTACGACACATCTTCTCGTCAGACATACCTCAAAACCTTAAAACGAAATTGTACAACCAGTGCGTGTTGCCAGTGATGACTTACGGAACTGAGACGTGGTCCTTCACTGCTGGCCGTATGAGGAAGCTCAAGGTCGCTCAGCGAGCTATGGAGAGGGCTATGCTCGGAGTTTCTCTGCGTGATAAACTTAGGAATGAGGATATCCGCAGTAGAACTAGAGTGACCGACATAGCCCAACGGATTAGTAAGCTGAAGTGGCAGTGGGCCGGCCATATAGCTCGAAGAACCGACAACCGATGGGGAAGAAAGGTTCTCGAGTGGCAGCCTCGTACCGGTAGGCGAAGTGTAGGGCGTCCCCCCACGAGATGGAGTGACGACCTGGTAAGACATGCAGGAAGTCGATGGATGCAGGTGGCTCAGGACCGTGCTTTGTGGCATTCTTTGGGGGAGGCCTATGTTCAGCAGTTGACTTGTGAAGGGCTGTAATGATGAGGTGGTTTATTGAATTTCCGATTTTGATTTCTAATTGCCATTCAATTGAATTAAAATTTGGATATTTATATTACCACTTTTAAGCAGTCCTTGACATTTAAGTTTTTTTTTTATAAAATTGAATTGATATATGAGCTTATAGTCCACCTGTTATTAAGCGGCTACTGTAGCCTGTGAACTTCTGCAACCAACTTCAAACAAGGAAGGCTATGAATGTGTCATCACCTCAGGTGACTTAGATGGAATACCTCACATATTTTTATACTGGCTTTCTATGGCCTTCAGACTGCTATACAACAGTGCATGGTAGAAATAGATAAGAGAGTTGTATCGATCTAGACTCCCAGCCAGAATAGAAATCCCATCATAGAACGCTAATGTCTGTCTTTGTGTTTTATTTTTTTCTTGGACATGTATGATGTATACTATTTCAAAATAAAATTTCAGACATCGGAAGGTCATTTAATAATATATAATGTGGAAATGCAAAGTGAGCAGACAGCATATAATCAATTTGATCCACCCACTGCGAGTCTTCGGAGGGATTCTGCAGAGTTGTTTGTAAAGGAGACGATTCCGTCACTTAAAATTACGCTGGTAATGAATATCTTTGCTTACTTTTATAGAATAGGCAAAAGCAAAATATTTATAAGTTATATTTTAAAAAATAAAATCCATTTCTGTGGGATATTGTGGTGATTTCTGACATTATGTTATTCTCCTCGAGGGAATGACATCTTCTCATTTAAATATACTTAATTTTAGTATATGGCTACTGCCCTATGTCACAATAGGATATATTATATTGTTGTTTAGTGTAATAGTCTTTATTTTTCACCCGCTTAAAATGTGATTAGAGTCAGCCCTACTTTATTTGAAATTTAATACATGCCATATGCTTATTATTTTTCTGTAATATGTATTCACAATGGTAAAGAAAACATTTTCGTCATATTATACTGTTTTGTTCCTGCAATGATGGAAATATTCTACCTTCAGTTTGTGTCAGTTTGTTCAAGTCTCAAGTCTGTTTGTTGTTACAGTGCAATCTCACTGTGCTGTAATGTATTTAAGGCATGAAGTTATGTTACAATTATTATTATTTAGTTAGGATTGGATGAATATCATAATATTGGAATAAAGTTATTCGATTTTTTTTTTTACATTTTTAATGATTTTGCAGTTTAAGGAAATTTTGGTATGGGATGGACAAATTACACGGATGTGTTGTATATCGGGTACCGAGATTTTAGTGTGTACTACTCGCGCTCATCTACTACGCTACCGGTGGGATGGTACACAGAACAGAGACTACTGCTTGGACCTGGGGCGGATTCCATTTTCGATTAATCAACAGGTTTCTAAAGGTACATTTTATAAAGTACTTTAAATATTTAAAATTCTTTAAGATATTCTCTCTTTGCCATGTGACCGTGTCAGTCGGTGTAGAACTGTAGAAGGATCGATCAACCCTTTTTTTTATTAGTGTCGTAAGAGGCGTTATTCAATCTCATATAATATTATATTAGATGTAAAATACACCGGCCGGAGACGGGGAATAAAGACAGGGAGACATTAGGTACTGCAATCGGCCATTCATCTGGCAAACATGACAAATACTGCAATCTCTTACAATAATGGAAGGAACCAGTAAAATATAACCATCTGATGAAAAGGAATAAAAAAGAAAATTATATGGCCTAAGAATTTGTAATATGTAAATTTTACATTTTAGTATGAACTCTAAGCTTGTTTAGTCTGTAACATTATGAATAAGTTTGCATAGGTGTGACATCAGTTTTTTATAACATACAGACAAGATACGAAGAATACAATACAATACAATACTCTTTATTGTACACCAAGAAAAGTTAAAAATATCAAAAAGAAAAAATAAACAACTATTGAGGGATATACAAAGGCGGTCTTATTGCTACATAGCAATCTTTTCCAGACAACCCAGAAGAAGAAATATTGTATATTAAATAAGATGCAGTAGAGAGCAGAAAGTATATGAGTATTCCGACGAAGACGGATTGGGAGCCACTTGAGCTTAGTGCAGTATTCTGAGACATGGTTATATTTACGAAGCCCAAATATGGACCGGATACAGAGATTTTGGAGTAGCTCAAGTTTGTTGAGTTGCTCCTCAGTGATATCAAGGTAACAAATGTCAGCATTAGTCGAGGATAGGGAGTAGTAAAGATTGTGCAAGCGTAAATTTGGTGGAAATGTGTAAAAAGTAGTTAAACCTCCGGAGTGAAGCATATGCTGCAAACATTTTACAGCTCACTGCATTAATTTGGGGAGTCAAAGAAAGACTGGAATCTAAAAGGATACCTAATTTTTTGATAATGTCATAAGGGATAGGAACTCCATTATATATAACGAGTTGTAGTTGACATTTTTGAATTTTGAAAATCATTCTTGAACTCCCAATAATTATGGCTTGGGATTTTATAGGGTTCTCCTTTAACCCATAAGAACGACTTCAGTCGAGAATACAAGCCAGATCCTTATTGAAACGTTCCACTGCTTTGGGAAGATCTTCAATGGTTGTTTGTAAGTATATTTGAGGATCATCTGCATACAAGTATTACAGAGAAGATATTTGGGATGTAATAGTATTAATAAAGATTGCGAATAAAAGAGGAGATAAGACGCCATCTTGTGGAATGCCAGCTACTGTATCAAGCCACGAAGAAAGTCTATCTTGGGAACGAATACATTGCCGGCGCCCATACAAATAACTATGAAACCAGGAAATTGCAGTTAGAGATATGTTAAGAGAACGCAAAATCCCTAACAGGATGTCATGATCAACAGTATTGAAGGCATTGCTGAAATCCAGCAACACCAATAATGTGACTTGATGATTTTCCATACCGTGTCGAATGTCGTCCGTGATTTTCAATAACGCCGTAGTCGTACTATGACCAGATCTAAAGCCAGATTGGAGTGGGTTGAGGATACTATTTCTTAAACAAAAGAAATTAATTTGTTGTTGCACAAGGTGTTCTAAGACTGGAAAGGAAAGGAAGAATCGAAATAGGACGATATTCAGAAAAACTTGAAGGATTTGCTTTTTCGGGTATAGGTATGATTTGGGCGTTCTTCCATTTGTTAGGGAAAGAAGATGAGGATATGGAAAAGTTTAAGATGTGTGTTATAATAGGTGTTAAAAAATCTAACAAGGGAATTATCATTTTACGACTGACGTCATCACTTCCGACAGCGTCAGAATGGATAGAGAGAATGTGTTTCCTGATATCACAATTTGCAAATTGCCTAAACACAAATGGGGAAAAGTCAGGAGTGGAAAACGATGAAAGTTGAGTAATTGTTGTCGATTTTGCCATATTGTCCAAGCAAGAAACAGAAGAAAAATGCTGAGTAAGCAAATTTAAATCGACGTTGTTTTCGTTGTCGTTTGACGGCTCCGTGGCGCAGTGGCTTAGCAAAGAGTTGCTGCGCTGGGGGGCTCGGGTTCGATTCCCGCACGGGACAAGTATTTGTATGGCCTACAAATAATTGTTCCGGGTCTGGATGTTTGTCCTTGTGCAATTTGTGTTTGTAAACTGCCTCCACCATACTGGAGAAAATCCTAGTGTGGGGGTAACGTTTAAAAAAAATAAAAAATAAAACTAAAATAAACTATTATGTCGACTGTAAAGGAAATGGGGATTTATGGGATAGTTTAAAAAAAAAATCTATTTCAAAATATAAAAAATAAGCCCAATTCACAATTTAGAAGACGAGGAAGCTTAAAAATAAGTTTATGGCACGAATGAAATATGGGACCACATGTTAAGCACCAGTTTTCAAATAAAAAATGTATAAATGTAATGTAAATAATTATGGGTGATTTTAATACATGTTTACTTAAAAGAGACAATCGGTGTAAGAAGCTACAATCGATTGTACAGGCGTGTAACTTACATATATTACCGCTTTCTGCTACACATAATCTTCCTGATTGTACCCCATCTTTACTTGACTTAATTATTGTTTCCTCGCCTGATTTTGTCCAGAAGCACGGCCAACATGAGGCTGATGTTTTTTCTTACCACGATCTCTTATTTCTTACATACAAAGTTCGTCCTCCTAAAGTAAAATCGAGAATCCTTCTGCAACGTAATTTTAGTGGAATGGACAAAGAACGTCTTATTGAAGATGCTCGCCTTTTGGATTGGACCGCTGTGGAAAATGCCACTACGGTCGATACAAAGGTTGAGTTGTTTAACTCTTTTCTCATACAACTATATGACGTTCATGCACCAGTAAAACCAATAAAGATGATGCACTCACCTGCGCCATGGCTGACCGATGACCTTAAACATCTTATTATCAAAAAAGGCTTCGCGAAAAGCAAACTCAAGGCTGAAAGATCTGACAAAAATCTGCGAAACTACAAAAAAGTTAGGAATCGCTGCAATACATTGTGTAGGGATGCACAACGACGCCACATTCATAAATCAGTCGAAAACGGCGACACTGCCAAGGTTTGGAAATTTCTTCAATCACTTGGAGTTGGCAAAGCATCTTCTAGCTCATTTCAGCATAATTTTGATATTGAACTCCTTAACCAACATTTTACTTCTTCTAGTACAATAGACAGCTCAGATAAAGAACGCACTCTGAGTATTCTTTCTTCAACGCCAACTCTTAATTTCCCACCGTTTAAGTTCACTCCTTTCACTGACTGTGATGTTAAAAAGAACATATTGTCCATCTCGTCTAAAGCCGTGGGTGATGATAGTGTTAGTCGTAACATGATCTTACCAATCCTTGAATTTGTTACTCCCATTCTCACCCATATCCTGAATAAATCTATCTCCACGTCTAAATTCCCCGAAGCTTGGAAAAGCGCACAAGTAATTCCTCTCCCTAAGAAGGCCCAAGCCTCACATTTTACCGACTTTCGCCCAATTTCCATTCTTCCGTTTCTATCTAAAGTCCTAGAGAAACTAGTTTTTCACCAATTATGTCAATATCTAGATAGAAATTCCCTTTTAAATCCTGTTCAATCCGGTTTCCGGTCGGGTCATAGTACGACTACAGCTCTGGTTAAAGTTACTGACGATATTCGACGAGGTATGGATAATAAACAGCTCACTGTGTTGGCATTATTAGATTTTAGCAATGCCTTCAATACCGTTGATTTTGATATCTTGTTGAGCCTGTTACGTTCCATTAACATATCTCCATCAGTGGTTGGATGGTTTCAAAGTTATCTTAGGGGCCGCCGGCAGCGTATTCGCGTTGAAGATAAATTTTCATCTTGGTGTGAACTACCAGCTGGAGTGCCTCAAGGTGGTGTGTTGTCTCCTTTACTCTTTGCTATCTTCATTAATTCGATCTGTCACAAAATTTCTTCTCTCTATCACATGTATGCAGACGATCTTCAAGTGTATACGCAGTCAACTCTTGAGAACCTGCCTACCGCTGTTTCTGCCATCAATGCTGACCTGGCGGCTATTAGCGAATGGAGTAAATACTATGGGCTTAAGGTTAATCCTTGTAAGTCGCAGGCCATTATTGTTGGTGGTGCTGGGATGATTTCAAGAGTTGACTGGAATAACTTTCCCTCGGTGGTATTGAATGGTGTTGTAATACCTTACAGTAGCACCGTTAAAAATCTTGGTATCCACTTCGATACTACTTTCTCGTGGTCTCATCAATTGAAAGAAGTTAGCAGAAAGACTTTTGCTGCTATGGGTTTATTGCGGCGTTTACGTTCTTTCCTTCCCATTCCTACTAAAATTATGTTAGCACAATCTTTACTCCTCTCTATTCTCGATTATGCGGGCGCAAGCTATCTTGATGTAACTGAAGATCAACTAAACAAACTTGAGCGTATTCAAAATCTGGCTATTAGGTTCATATTTGGCTTGCGCAAATATGACCATGTTTCCGAATTCCGTTTAAAGCTCAAGTGGTTACCCATTCGCCTTCGCCGGAACCTACAAATTGTTTCTCTTCTGTACTGTGTATTATTCGATCCAATGACTCCTAGTTATCTAAAGGAAAACTTTAAGTTTCTTGGTCATGACAGACCGGACAGAGTTCTACGGTCAGCCGGAGAACTTATACTCGCACCACATTCATATCGAACTAAATACTTTAAAAACTCCTTCACAGTTAAGGCCATCTGCTTATGGAATGATCTTCCTTCGCAAATTCGTCGTGCGAAAACACTAGAAAAGTTTAAGACTGACGTCAAAAATTACTACCTAACAGTGCATTAACTACTGGTCATCATTTGCGACATGTATTTTTTGTATCCTCTCTGTATTTTTTTATTTAATTTTTATGTATATTTGCCTACTTAATCTTATGTATGTCTATTATATTTTGAATGTCTATA